AGGTATTTGTGTATAGGTGTATCTGTGTATTTTCTCTTAAGTATGTATATTTTGTTCACCATTCATTCTTATATGTATATATACATACATGTATGTATACATATACATGTCCGATATACATGCACACATACATATCTGCATACGTATATGAATGTATGTATATATGTACATTCGTATACACACATACGTGAGTTTCACAAAAATATATAAAAGAGAGAGTGTCTATGTATACACACATACGTGCATATATACCTATAATTTTTTTATATATATATATACCGATATATAGTTCGATTTATAATTAAAATCGTGTGGAAAAGGGTGGTTTCTTCATTTTTTTTTTGTTTGTAATCATGTATATATATATAAATATATATACATGTGTTCTGTATAAATACATATATATACGTTTATGTATAGAACCTGTACAAAGTGCTTGATTGAGATTTTTTCGTCCTTAGCCGCAACACAAGACACGAGGTAAAGGTTTACACGTAGCCCCGCACTCCCGTTCACACGCACTCCTATTATTTACGTCTCGGCACATCGTTTTACATGTGATCCGTTCTAAAACTATGTGCACAAGGTGGCCCGTGTTCTGAGAACGAACCGCGCGATCGGGACTTCTCAGGCGGGAATTTGAAATTTCACAACTTCGTTTGCGAAAATTGTTTCACAGTTTCTATTATCGAATACGATTCCTCGTTTTTGTTCGTTTTCTCCTCCATTCGACCTGAGGATACCGGTATTTTTTATTATTATTTTAGTAATATTATATCTAATGTCGAATACAATCTAATATAACCTATCAAGGTAATATCATTATGTTAATAATGTTAAATTAAAGACATATTATATCGTCACTTAATAACTTTATCAGAAACGCACACGTCGTCGTGTTCAATAACTAACCAGTCTTGTTGAATTACCAAACGGTTGAAATTCAAAAAGCACAAGGAACATTTGAACGTACGTAACAGTAGACTTGACATAGAAAACATTTAAATATAGCATTCTCTGGCATTTTTTGCTTGTATTTAGTAGTTTGTCCAAAAGAGACAATTTTTTCTCGAAAAGAATGAATGGCAAAAGGTAAAACAGCAAGTTACACAAATTGTATGAAATTTTATGTAATTATCTCTCACCAATTTGTCCCGCTTTGTAGTTAAGAAGCGCAGTCCGCCGATATTTCACGGGCCACCCTGCATATGCATGTATACATATACATGTATATATATGCATACGTACTTTTGCAGACAAGGCAAGGTACAAAATCACGATATGAGAGACGAACACACGATTCTGTCCCGCGAAGTGAACGATGTTTTTTTTTGTTTGTTTATGTTTAAGGACAAAAATGTCTCGATGAAGTTGATCTCGATAAAGTTTCTCTTATCTCTTCCGTTTCTCCCTCCGTTCTCCTTCCTCCTCTTCACGCTCCTTCTTCATCTTCTCCTTCTTCTGTTTCTTCATATTTTTTTGTTCTTCTTTTTACAGTGTACTGTAGAACGACAATATATTCATCTCTTCTGCACCTATTTACATATCCTGAATGAGCTACAGCGATGGTATACGTTAAGTCGCGAAGGCGATTACAATTCCTCAGCGATCAGCCTTGAAGATGTTCTCAAGCGTGTAAAGTTAAGCTGCTTGCTTCGCATTTTGTTTTTTTTTCTTTAGGTATATATTTCTCGTCTTCTCTGTACTTTATTCTGAAGGGATGGGGAGGGGGATTTAATCACACAGTTTTTTTGTTATACTCATCACGGTAAGCCGTTCAGTCCATATATTGCCTTCCGTGGAAGACGATATATCTTTGTATCTTACGAAGATTTAGAGAGTGTAACGTGTAGCTACCCTCGGACCATATTTCACCATGCCGCTTCCCGTTTCCCTTCGCTTCTTCTTCTTCTTGCTCTTCTTTCTTTTCTTCTTGTTCTACTTTTTCTTCTTCTTCTTCTTCTTTTTCTTCTTCTTCTTCTTCTTCTTCTCTTCCATCCTCTTCTTTCTCCTTCTGCTCTCATTCTCTTCATCCTCTTCTTTTTTCCCTTGTTCAAGTTCTTTCCTTTTCCATTGGCAGATCTTCATCACCTCTCTATGTCTCTTCTTTCCTCTTTATTTGAATCCGATGTTCGTTACGATGTTTTGCCTCGTCTTTGCTACGACCACGTCTCAACGTAAAAATGTTCGGTCACGGTGTAAAAAAATGAATCACGCAGCGATGATGTAACGAGGAACGAAGAATTTTACTGCGGACACTATAAAGGGAAACTGATCCGGCTGCGAGTGTGTCGAGGAAAACATAGCTGGCGGTGCGTGGCCAGCGGAAAAAACGGACGTGTCGATGAGTTGCTCTATGGACGGGGTTTGCGATAATTCGTTGAGGACACGCGATGTCGTACCAAAATGCCAGCCAACGAAGATTAAATGGATCCGTAGGGATGACGGACGGCATGATGATGGCTTCCTTTGTACGATTAGATGTAGGAATAAGGTCCATCGGTGAGGGCGCTACACAACAACAGTCAGGAGGCGTCGTCCTTTCCTCTAGCACCTCTGCTTGGCTTGTATTCGAGACCCGGATCGAACTGCATTAGCACGAAAACCTGTAAATCAAAGAAAATTGTTATACCAGGATCATCATTCGTATGAACTTTATTTGGTCAACCCACAAATAAATGCGGTACTCGTATGTTTCTTTATTTTTAGAAATTAGGATAAACGTAACCGTTTCCTAATCTAGAATATGTTCTTCTTCGTTATCTACATATAATTAACTATACATTATATAACTATACATTATAATTACATTAAAGAAAGTTTCGTTTAATTTAATCTTTAAAAATGAAAGAAATATAAAACAAACGTATTGTTCATGAGATGACTCGATATACTGAATTCTGCGATTCAGAGTGCAAGTATTGAACTTAACTCATACTTTAATATCGAAACAGAAATTCATTTGCTTCTATTAAATTGAAAACGAAATGACAACTTTATGAAGCAATGCAAATTGTTTTTAAATAATAAAGATACAAGACTAATATTTCGAGACTTTTCTTCATTCTGCTCTAACTGCTATACATTTCGAAAGGACTAAATCTACTTCAGAATTGAAGTTTAAGTGAAACAATTAACTTATATAATTATTAAAAAAGCAATTATTTATAATAGTAATACAATTTTATTCGTGAATAGCGACCTCCTAGAAACGTATAGCTGATGACTGGCTGCTGCAGAGAATAAAGTTAACGTATTGAGTGAATCATGAAGTATTAATGAGAAATGAACGATTGCTGTTATATTTTCAATATGTTGGCAAGTTTTCCTGGACGAACAATTTGAAATATAATTACCTGGTCTGTTGGTAATAACGTAAAATCATCCGGGGGATTTGTGATGACGTATCGCTTCGACGAAGCGTCGCACGACGAGCTCGTGTCCCGAAACCTAAAAAGTTTGAACGGAACGATTAGACGTATAATACCGAACGGTATCGTTGAAATGGACGACTCGTAACTAAACACACCACGTTAAGATTAGAACTAAACTAAAACTAACTTAAACGCTGGCAACAGTAACTAAGCACTAAACAAATAGATGACACAAAGAGAGACAATCGTAAAAAATGATAGGTATTTGTTGGATGAAGAAGGCAACTTACGGTCGACGGTTTCAGTTTTCATGATGCAAAAACGGAAAAATGTAAAAGTATGCGGCAAAAAATCATAAATCACATAGTAAGTATACGAGAATGGCACGGTAAAAGATAATTAACGGCGGTGTAACAATCGCAGCAGCCAGATGAGAAATCTTTCAGAGAACAAGATAAATGTACAATGTTTCATGTACAGAGTATAATCCAATAAATACCATCGAGAGAAGGAAAAAAGTCCGGTACCTGTACCTGTACAGACCAATGCACAGCATTCCATACGACTTTAATGCTGCGACAAAGAGGTCACCGTACTTGCCTCCTTCGCCATATTGGGCCAACGGGCCATCGTATAACGCGATTTGGCCAACTCGACATCGATCTCTGTTGGCCAGGCTGTCAGCCGTACTGAGAAGTAACGGATACAGATCAGTTTTGAATCAATATGACATAAATTATGCAGAAATATTAATGTACAATCAATTCAACGCAATTTACCTGTAACCACCTCTTAAACCTGCTCCTTCAGCCAATATTAATTCTAATTCAGGCGTTGCTCCACCAGTAATCAGCGACCGGATCAAAGTCAGCGCGTTTTGGTTAAAATACGTCTGTAATAGAGAAATTAAGAAAAATTTTATAGTACATCTCGGTTTACATTATTCTACTATTATATCATTTGATATTTTAACCCTTTGCGGTCGAGAACTTTTTAACTTCTAAAAACGTTTCCTATAGAAAGCTAAATTATGCATCGGTCTTTAATACTAGAAGGAAGAAGAACTATATATGCAGTGATTGAAATCTCGTTATTCGTATAATGAAATTATTCCATTACTATTATTATTTATTATAATTATTTAAACTGTTATTATTATTTGTAAGTTTCAGTTCAAAGTCACCAAAGTTGTGAAGGTTGTCCGTTAACAGAATTGTAAAGAATTATATGAAATAAAAATGATGAAACATGATTTTATGCACCGGGTATCAATATATTCCGTTATATTAATTTTATTGAATTACCAACCGTTGACATTAACGAATCTAACACACTGACGGCAAAGGCAGTACCGCAAGCGAAGGGCTGGGTGAGGTAGAGTTCCGTGTCCGGATCGTCGTCGTCATCCTGGTCAAGGAACTGCACGTTGCTATCATTTACAAGTTCTATGAGAAGAAAACAGATTCGAAAGATCAAAGGTTCTCGCATTGCGGTCGCGTACGATTAATCTCCGGGTACCTGTTATCATTGGCACGTTTGCTCCGTAAACGGATCCTCGTCGCTGTAAAACGATCGGGCTGCCAACTGCAGTTAAAGTACCTTGCTCATTATTTGCTGGAATTGCCACTTAACATGTAATTATATGTATATACGCAATGGATCATGGAACTGCGAAACTATTGTGCGCTATTTCGAAGTTTCGTGATTATTCTTGGCGGATGAGATATAGCGTGGTTTCAACACTTGTACCGAGTGGAAATAAATGATTGTATTTTCTTGTCGTAGCATGTTTCTACATCTTCGGACTGATGGAGATCGAGGTAAAGAAGCTGCTGCAAAATTCCCTTTTCTTATACACTCTATCCTTAATCGTTTGAGTGGCCGGATCTTTCCATCATTTCTTTCAATCACTTCACGCTACGACAAGAGAGTACAATCTTTTATTGCCACCCTGTACAAACAGTGGCGTAGCATTTCGTTTCTGGAAGAACAAGGTGGAGCATGGGAACTGTACAGTTTCTAAATTTTCTAACTCTAAAGTTACTGCTTCATCTTTATTTCCAAATTATTAACATTTAAAATACGGCAATTACTCGTTTGACATGCGCTATTAGCGGATATTTAATTGTTAATAACCCGAAAACAAAGTTGAACCTGAAGTTTCTTCATTTGCGTTTTCCTGTTTGTTTGAGCTTAAAATAAAAAATAATAAGAATACAATTATATGGAATAGAAAGAAAAAATAATAGTATCAGCGCATAAAGTTTCTACTATGCGTGTGCCTTCTACAATAGCAATAAGTTATGTCCAACAATAGCTATCGCTTATATCGCCTTCCACACTATATCCTTTCCACGAAGAATAGCCAAACAATACTTATACCTTGGCTGAGTACTCCAATCGTATCGTCGAAGGTCATAGCCTTGATATTAAGGGACGCGAGGATAGCCTCCTTGTCGGCGAGGGTGGGGTCATCATTGCTAGGCACTTTAGCCGACAGGATGCAACACATATCGCACAGATTGACGTTCACGGCACGTAAATCTGCTCTGCTTAATGGTGAACCCTGTAAGAACCATGTGTAATTCACAATACAGGATGCGGTTGCTTCTAGCTCTCTTCAAGGAGGTTCTAATTACACAGGATGCCAGCAAATTAGTGATAAAATTCAAACAAAGGTGTAATCCGAACAATCGCAAATGATGAAACGATGAATCTTCTTTTTCCTCTATGTTCTCCTGCTTAATAAAGCCATCGTTTGTGATTAATCCGATTACTTTTCACGAGAGAATGAATTGAAAATGTAGAATAATGTGAATAATATGAATAAAACTTTGAAAATTCGTCGTTAACGAACTTCTTCGGTTTGTCTTGATTATACTCTGTATACTTTACTTTTAAATTGTATTATATTGTATTCGTTTTAAAATTGTATTCCACATTTCCGATCCATCTTTCATGTTGATATGTACCCTTTTAGATTGTATCATCAATGTGTTGACATCCTCGATGTAGGAAAAAAGGGTACACTTTTGTATTGTATGTACACGGTGTTACGGGGTAAGTACAACTGGAGTTAATTTTTGGACTATTGGTTTTCTGAATTACTAAATATAGGAAAGTTATTTTACACTTCAAGTATGACTTCTGATATAAGATTATTTCAAGTTCTGTTAGATTTACATACGGTATGCTGTGAAGTATATTCTTTTTTTGATGATTTGTCGAGAGTGCGAGGGTGCGTCATGTTTTGAATAATATTCGATGCTTAACAATGTTAATGGAATATTAAGTCGATCTTGATATAATCTTAGAACACAGAAATAAAATTCTTATATACGTATATTCGTTGAAACTTTTCGCGAGGGGGAATGAATGTTACTCCTACCGTTTAGACATTACGCCAAACGATTTTCATCATTTGAAATCTTCATTTGCAATTTTTCAGGAAAATATTATATGAAATATTTACATGACTTTTCGAAGTACATTATGAAAGGAAATTACTTTTGATTTTAATTGAAGGTGTTACTTTTTAATAATTTGTTAGTAATGAAAGTAACAGTTCTTAAAATGAATCTGTCCATTCGAAGTATATCATGTGCTTGTTATATATGTATCTATTAAAATTGATTAGCTGTCTATACTAATAACATTTATAATATAATAAAATCTACAGCATTTGGTACATTTTATTCGTTCTATTCCTTCTTCTATGTAGCAACAGTCTTAAATACATGCTTTCAAGACATTAAAAAAAGATTTTGTTATCTAAATTTATCTATTACACGTAGCATTAATGAATCCAATAATAGCCATTAACTTTTAAGTCAACATACATCCTTTAAATAAAGACTTCAACTTCATTAATTAAAAAAAGAATGATTTTCTACCCTATACAGACATGTTCAATCCATAGGAAATAAATATATTTAAAGCAAAAACTGAGGCTACAAATTTGAAACACTTCGAAGGACGGATTTCACCTTAAGAATTGCTGTCCTTCAGAATTATGATGATTTATTTCAATGAAAGTAAATGTGCAGGTTGGGGTAACTTTCACCACCTAAACTATCTCAGTTGTCTTTAAACATGTGAAAAAGGCAAACATATTTTCAAATTTCTACTTTCAATTAAGTCTCATTTAATGTAAACTACCACTACAAGCATATTTAAAACTAACATACGTATCATTTAAATAACCTTCAAATACCCGGATCAAAGGCAATCGTAAAAAATAAGTATGATAATTCGAAACCTCAAAAATTAGAAAAATATAGAGAATTTCGAAATCATCGACAACCTGGCATTAAAGAAAAACCTATGACTACTTTGTAATTAAATTTTCTCACATCTCTAAAAGTAACCGAGACGAGTGACATGATCGAAAGTATCACCCCAAACGATGCACACCTTGACTAAACTCTCATCGAAAACGAGTAGACGTGAGAAATGGAAACACAGAGAATTTTGAGTAATGCGAAAGGAAGAAGTCCAAGTTAAAAGTGTTTAGCGGCAGTGAAGGCGCTTAAACGACTGAAAGAAACATTGTTTACGTTTAGCACTGATATCTTTGGTAGATTCTGCAACATTTTCCACTCGCGGCGGATGTAGTCCACAGACCCAACTATCACTACGTGTTTAAGCTCGTGGTAATGGAAATTGGAAGCTCTTAATGGCATGACAAGGTTTCTCAGTCCGATGAGGGGTGAATCGGGATCGGCGAAGAGGCAGACAACGACGTGCCCGTTCAGGACCGTCATGGCTGCCTGATTACGATCCAGTATACAGTCTTCGAGGTTGCGGGATGGGCTCCAGTGGAACATGCCCGTCGAGTCGTATTTCATTTCTGTCTTCTCGAAATCGAAGTCTTTCGCCTGATCGTCGGCGATTCCGACTTGAAGACCACCATTGTTATTCACGTTCGTGCCGCCTGAAGCTCTGCTCGTCGGCCTGTAAAAAGTTTTACAATGTTAATAGTATTCATATTTACTAGTGTTGTAAAAGTGAGTCCTGAGCCTCGACCTTTGAAAGCTGTAGCTGTGACTCGAGCCTTGAGAACTCGAGCCTTGAGAACTCGAGCTTTCACGGCTTAAGCTTTGAACAGTAACAGTACGTCGTCTGTTGTTATGTAAGTAGTGTATGATGGTTTGATTCTTCGAGCATAACGACTTGATCGCTGTAGAGTTTTAAAGATTAGATCGAGCTTTCGAAGTTTCAAGGTTGAGACTTGAGGGACCCGAGCCTTTTACAACACTAAGTAATAATATAAAATACGCTGCTTCAGTTAAACATACAACATCAAATGTATTGTATATGGTACATAAATCCGGACACAATCCCTCGTTAATGAGAGTGTCAACTAACAATCAATTTTTACGCTACTAGTTCTCTATACTAGTTGTACGATATATCAGAAACCGCTTCTCTAAAGCTGTTATATTTGATTTTCTATGATATTTTAATCTATATTAGAAAGTCAATTTATTCTTGTAATATCTAATTGTTTGTGCTTGTTAATCGTGGTAAACCTTTTTAGTACAGATTAAAGGAGATACTCATTTCAGTGAACATGCTTCTGCATACTACGTTCCTATTTCTACATAGTTTCATGCGAAAGTAACAAGCAAACCTATAAAGATTCTCTGAGTAATATAGTTTATTTTATTTCTCTTAATTTGTGTCATCTGCGACGTGCAAAACAGAATCTCAGTTTCACGGGATTACGATTATAATAATATAAAATACCGATGTATATTTCACTATTTGAAGATTGTTATTTAGATGACTTCATGATTCGAAAGACTAGAATAGCTGATTGTTTTTATATTTATTCTTTTAATATTTTATTAACTTGTACGTATATTCTATATTTTATTCACCCTTGAAGCTTCCTATAGAAAAAAGGCAATATTAAAAGGAAACTATGGACTGTTGTATAATTTGATGCATTAGGTGTGCCAAAATGTAATCCACTATTCCTTTCAGAACTCAGTAAAATGATAGAAAGTTTTTTTTAAAAAGTAAGTAGACTATTGGAGAAAATAGAAAGTATGATTAAAAATATGTGGATCAAAAATTTGTACACCTAAAAACTGAACCAGTAAGATAGCAATCAACATATGTCAATTTCTTTTAATTAGTGTTTCAGTAAAATCATGTTATTCACAGTTTGTCTCTTTTATTCTGAGTCTTGTGTTGATAGCTAACTAGGCAGGGTGACAAGGGGAAACGTCCACTCGTGGAACTCTTGCCTTCCTGCCCTGTTAACCTTCAGAGCGAGGCTCAGAGCAAAAGGTAAACTGTACTTCTAAATCATTTGAGTATAATAAATATAAGAATTATTACAACTTATTCTTGTAAAATGAAGAATAATTAGTGAAATTTCTTATCTCACTAATTCCATTGATTTTAATATTGAAAACGTTTATTGTGAATACTGATCGAGTGCTCGCGGAGGTTTCTCAATCGCATGCAGTGTTCTTAGCAAGCGTGTAGCAGCTTCAATTGCCATAAGCGCACAGATAGACATAAATACATATCCACACAAGAATAACCACCGCACAACAAATACAGTGTTAACGAAAGAAGCGTACATGAGTTTTTTGACTTCGTAGGCGAGATGGTAGCCGGGGTATGCGGACTCCTCTTGCGATCTGGAATCAGAAGGTGTTTGCAACGTTGGATTTATCATCGCACAGAACCTTGAGCTTCATCGATTCACGTGGAAATATCATCGAATCTGCGGCGTAGGTGACAATCAAAATATTGGGTCATCCCATGAATAATGCGTTTTTTTTAAATGTTTCTTTCATTTTTAGAAATCAAGATAAACGAAATTGTTTTTAATCTGAAATATATTTTTCTTCGTTAGCTGTAAATATCTATTAACTGTAAATCTATAGATAACGAAGGAGAATATATTTCATATTAAAAAAGTTTCGTTTATCTTAATTGTCAAAAAGAAAAGAGGTATTAAAAAACCGCATTATTTATAGGGTGATTCAATAGCTCGAGTTATCTTAAGTGTACTACGATAAATTTCGTAAGTCTCGAACGCTTCGCTAGCGAAAGAACCGTTGACTCTTTAGCGATAACCACCCTTGTAGTCACTGTGTCCTATTAAACTGGCAGTATTCATTTCATGTTCCTAATTTTCTTTATGTTTTCAATTCGATTCTGTCGGAATTGTGTGTAAATAGTTTCACGAGTTTAATTCACTTTTCACTAGTATTAAATCGATCGAAATGTCGAGCTTCAATAAAACAAGCTACACGGTGTCAGAGTAAACAATGAGCTTTTCGAAATGACCTAAAAAACTCTCCAACTTCATGGGAATGATTCTGGATCGCATGGAAGTTCTCTACCGAGAATCATCGAGTTGAACGAACCGAGTCAAATTACAAAGTGTTTGGTAACAGATAAGAGAACATTTTTTGGAGGAAAAGAATCTCCGCAACAATATAAGATGAAAATCAAGAATAAGAAAATAGCGTTTTTAGCTTCGTTTTCAAATTATTGACGATTAACACGTTCACTGTGGTCACTGATGACCGGCGCTTCCGAATTGCTTGGAAACAATAACAATGTGAAAGATTATGATTTAATAGCTTGAATAACTAGGTCGGTCAAATAATTAATAATTCTTTTTATTGATCTTGTTCTGCCACAAAAGAATAAGTAACATATAAAACGCTCAAGATTTCTGTGACAATTAAATTTTGAAGAATAGTAAATCAAAGGATTAAAGTGACTTGAAAGCGAAGTCAAAATTACAAACTTTTCATTCCCTGTTTTCGTCTTAAATTATCATGCACGATCTGTCGCCAAACACTTTGTACGTGTAATTTATATACGCATTGCTTGAATAAGGAGAAATAACATGCTAATTAAAGGAGAACAGATGCACAGATTGCTCGAAGAATACGTATAAGGTATTTGAATGCATTCCATAATGTACAAACTTGTTCGACCGGAGCTTTCTCGTTAGAGAAAAAGTACGTATGTCCCGCAACAGATATCAGCAGACGTGAATGCTGTGAAAATCTATAAGGTTATTCAAAACATAAAATATGTAAATTAACATCTACCGTGTGTGACTGAGAGATACGATACGTAACGTTTCGCACGTTCGTGTGTAAGGTGAGAAAAAAAAACTGAACGAGACCACTTACAGTTTGAATAACCCTTACTTGTGCAGCTTACAAGAATATCGTTGTGTATGTAAGGGCTTGGATAGTTCTAATCGTGCAACTATTGCAGACAAGTATAATAATTAGATTGAAGACAGAGAAGAGTGACTGCGAAGAGGAAAGTTGAAGAACTTTTCAAGACTCACTGTGCAACTACCTGTACAGTAGAACCTTGATTATCCTAATCAATTATCCTAATGTATAAAATTTATCGTTGATGAAATACTTACTTTTTTTCATAGTAATTTTTATGATTTTCTTTTATATAAAAAAATGTAATATCTACAATGAAAGCGACGAATTCTAAAATCGAAGTGATACAAAATTTGCAATTATCTGACCTGAATTAAATGAAATTATAAATTTTGATTTTGCAGTTGAAAGCTTGAAATTTACCATACGACGTGACTTCCGTTCTAATAAGCGTAGAGAAAATATTGGTGGCTAATGTACAAATTGGGGATCATTTATTATATAGTAAGTTATATATTATTTGTTTTAAATAGTAACAGAAAATTGAAATTACTTAAATTTAAAAGATTCAATCGACTTGTTTGTACTCTCCGATTTATCTTTGGTATATAATCTGACAGGAAATTATCGTATTTTTCAGTAAAAACTTCCTACTTCAAATTACATAAGAAAAGTTCGGATAACAAAGGCTCCACTATACTTACGTCTGAATAAATTGAATTCGTGTACGGTTACATTTTCAATAATTGCTCTTTCAAAATTTGAATGCACGATTAGCGTCCTTTGAAATATAAAACACATTATACTTTAACACTTAACCAATCGTATGTATCAAGTGATATGGCCCTTATCAAGTTTTGTGACTATATTCCGTGAATATTTATTAAGATATTTGACAAGCCAGCTAACATTGACGAAAAATTAAAACTTCCACTTCTCCTTAGCATCGCGCTGACTTTTCCGAGTTGCGCGACGCTAACAATGGAAAATATCCCTTCCAGAACGCCAGATGAATGAAAACAAATAAAAAAAGGTCCTCGGCAGTGAACCTAACACAGTGACTGCTTATTTTTTACAGTGCTGTCCTCAACTGCAATCTATAATTTGCAGGTTTCGGTTTTCCACTAATTATTAGCGTTTGATGTCAACCGAAAATCCGACGGCCATAATTAGTGAATTATTGACTGGACGTTTGATGAAAGCGATGAATACATTATTGGACTCGTGAATGACGTGTGAACACATAAATACGTTGGCCCATAAAAGTATTTAAAATCTACGCATTTGTAATGCAAATGTTGTACCCGCCATATATTCTATATTTCGAAATTAATTAATGTGAGAATGCTGTGTAGAGGTACATTTCATTTAAGTCGAATAACACACGTTTGGGATGTTCATTTTTATTACAAATATATCCACATTGAAGTACTTTAGTGGACCAGTGTATGTATTATATTTAATGGCCGGTTAAGTGTTAAGTAACTTATGCAATGAAATCTACACGCAAATGAACCTTAGCTGCACCAACACCTGTACAACATTATTTCTGCGATAATTAATTTGTCTCTCGTGAGGTATGCACACTTGAACTAGTGTACACCGAACTGAGGCACATACTTGACGTTAATTAGATACCTTTGATTGTACGGTTGATTCGGACTTGTCAGGTTATCGTTCGGCGCTCGATTCACGTTCGGTTTCACCTTGTTTACCTGCTTCGTCGAATTCATCATGGTCATCCCGACGGAATTTCGATGGTTTCTCATAGCTGCAACACACGTGAGAATTACTTCGTATTTATATACTATGCAGTTCAGTGTTAACTATTTATCACGGTTTCTATAAACATAAAAGTTTGGAAATTAATATTAACTTGCATTATATGACAATATAAATAACAGTAATAAAATATAATTAAAACCATGCTTGCCAACATAGGAGAATCTATTTTCCAGTTTATCACCTATAAACTTCGTTTTTAAATCGGGTTCATTAATTGTATTTATTCATTGTAATGTGATGTTCGAGTAAGCATATAAAGAAAAATAATCATATAAAGTCACACAAGATGAAATTGGAAATTAATAATCTTATAAAATTGTAGTTACACGCAACCTGAATGTTTTGTTCACGGATGAACGCATTTAGATCTATATACCGGGTTTGTTTTATAACTTACCACTTTACACATAAATTTATGTTTAAATAAATGTAATCTACAGTGCAGTTGTGATCAAGTTATTCTGATCGGTGTTAGTGCAGATTCGTATTCCCATCATACGAATTTAAGGAAAACAGTGCTTGATGTGCTTAGTAATACCTCGCTTATAATTAATCTGCGGATTTTATGCACACTGTATTGCTTATGAAATATTATGTAATAAAATTGACTAAAATACTTCGATTATTTTCAATCGAATAAAATTGTCTAGAGAAACGGCAACATTTTTCCAAGAATTACCTCAATAGAAATAATAATGTAATTGTGCATAGAGATCCGCAGTTCACTGGCAAATCAAAATTTGAAAGTAACAATGATTTGCGAGTATAGTAATAATATTCGCGCCATTTGGAGTCGTATTACGTCTTGAATAGTAAGAAAGATAAATCATAAAGAAATTAAATAGATAAAAACCACAAATAAGTTCATTATTGTGCGTATCAATTTGAGAGCCACTTTTCTTTAACAGTTCTCCATATTAGAACTCACTGAAAGATAGAAACTTGCTAGAAGTAGTACACTTAGTCACAAACGTGTAGATATACCTATCGCGTTAAAGTATGTTTCATTACCTAAAATCTTACGCATTCTAAAAACTGACATTGTTAAGTATTGGGTATTGTTAGTATTGATTTGAATCAAATTCCCTTAGTACTGTGAATAACGATTTGAAACTATTCAAGTTTGCTCAAAATCATAGGGGAGGAGTGAATAATAAGGCCTGGCGGACTACTAGCGAGGCATTACTGTATATATGGTGAAACAAACATAGTGACTTCTCTAAGCATTTATAGAGCAATTATCAAGAGAAAGGAAGTAGATTAGCATTGATCCCTTTAAAAAGAAACATTAAGGGTTAAGTTAAAGTAAAGCGAGCAATGGTAAAGGCAGAAGTCAGTAGCGAGCATTATTTTCGATCTCTGTATAACAGATCGATTTAGAATAACGAAAAACTCATTTAATGGACCATATTTAACGAAATCTATTAAAGATTTCATTAGAACAAATCATTCACAAGATTATTACCATTATTTCGACTAACATTTATGAGAACCAATCTTAATCTCAATCTAACCTAATCAGTGTAAGTGCAATAACGATAAAAATGATTTTTTAATTTTCTATTTACAATAAGAATTCCTCGTGCATATCCATAAGTAGGTACATACAAGCGACTATTTACTTGTTACTGTTACAAGTTATTAGTGAATATATACAAATTCACGTGTGTGCACAGCACGCGCTGTTAACGGTTAAATTTGTGTTCTATACATTTATATAACAAGAACAAATTATAATAAATATTTTACAACGAACATTGTTCTCATTATCAAAATATCATTGTATTATTATCATATATAATTATCACTAGTATATTAACACCTCATCGACGAGTTTATAAGAAAGTTTAAGGCCAAGTGGCGTCACCTGAAGATAAGGTGTTATTATTATTGTTAAATATTTTTATAATAAGTACAATAAGTGTTGTAAAATATTATTATATTTTTATGGTGAGAACAATTTGACCACCACTTGAGTACTCAAGAAAGTCGCAAACAAGTCACTATATTTGCCGTACGGACATTGTGCTCGTGTACCTTGGATACGGTGGTAACGAGGCGGTGAGAGACATTAGAAACATTCATTAGATGTTTATCTAACAATAGGGGACAGGCGAATTAGGAATTCGTTCGAAACTCACCGTTAGGGTCGTCTCGATCGCGACTGACCTCACCTACAATTAATACATCAGCATTAATTCGTATCTAGACCCGTTGTCCGACGTAGCTAATAGACAAAGCAACAATGGTTAAGACAATTACAGAGTGTCACACTGATCGTGACCTAACTCCCCCCCATTATAGCGCATTATACTTCTTATCAGCAAGAGCCTACAGCCCCATGCTTACAGGCACGCATACTTTATCCCTTGCACGTGCCGCCTTGTGAATTTCCAATGGCTGGAATTGCAGGTGGCCGACGAACGTTGCGGTTATCAAAAATACATCGATTGCCATCTGTCACGCGAATTATTCGCACAAATGATATGATAATTGATGGCCTGTCAAGGAAAAGTTCACTGAATGTCAATGATTTTCTTTCGGTTTCATTCGTATGCAGTAAACAATTGCTTGCCGTATGTTCTGCGAATTAATCGCTCGAAAGGAAACTGTATATCGATGATACTGTAATTATAGCATTGTTAAAAAGTACCATACTTTGAAAATTATGATTATACAATAATTCAATGATAATACATATTGTGACAATTAAGTTAAATACTTGGAAATCGTAAAATAGTTAATTCTCTACAATGTATGTCATTTTGATCGAGAAATCATTTGTTATGGCTTAATTTTTCCTGTAATCTAATCAGCGTTTAAATGTATTTACCTAATATTTCCCTGAAATTAGTGATCTTACGATTCCGTTATTTAAGAAATATAGATTGCTATAAGCCTTGCATCAGAAATACTACATAATTCATTTTATTAAATACTTTCGGTAGTTAAAAATCAGTGATTGGTGATTAAGATTACGGAATAATGGAACAACAAATTCGATGTATCATAGAAACCAAGCAACATTCGCGGCACAGACAACACGTGGCCATTATGACGCGTGCGAAGCGTCCGCAATGGACAGTAAAAAGAAAGCGGTTAGGCGCCTGTCACGATAATCAGATGAAACACCACCTATGCGTAATAAATTGAATAAAAAAATGAAAACCAAAGAAATGAAATAGAATATGGAAATGTGCCCTGTCTAGTGTTACCATGGAAAGAAATTGTAATAACAAATGTGTCCAATCTACCGTGCTCTCTACAACTATCAATATCATTGCTCTTTCCTTTGCAATCGATAATAAAATTACAGAAAAAAGAACGCATATACGAATGTATAATAATAACCGGTCAATATATACTCAGAACACGTATACAAGTGACACACATCGAGAAAAAGATACTGAAAATTGTATTCTAAACATCCTAAATCAAATGTATATCTATAATATATATATAAAATATATAATATATGTATATATATATTATATACATATAGAAATATTTCAGAACATAGAAAATAGATAGAAAATATTGAATCACTCAAAATATTCTTTTCAAACAGCATTTCTCAAACTGTTTATTATAATATACATACAAAAATCAGACGAAACGACAAAAAAAAAGTGATTTAATTGAATGTTTCGAAGTAAGCTGTTTAATTATTTTTCACTATACAAAAATTTCATCACGTGTTAACACTGAAGAGTGAGAAACGCTGATTTCCGTTGACTTTTACTAGACTACTTACGCAGACGAACACCACAATAAATGTATTTCATATACTAATTATATGAACAGATTTGATCATCGCGAACAATTATGATCTAAACATCTGTATTTACTTGAATTTCTTTCCCAGCAACAGTATTACCAATCATGAGGACCAATTCGAAAGTTACCGTATTCTATAATTTCAAGCTACTCAATTTATTCGTGTAACCACTCGTCTAAGATAAAAGAAAAATACATTAATAATGATGACATGTTCGTTACAAACCCAAAATGTTTCTAATGAAATCGAAACGAAACTTAATCTACAACGAAACATAATTGACACAAATAGTAATAGATAAACACTACGAAATCTTATGATAACTGTATGATCGCTAAGTGCTTATTATTACTAATAAATTGCACTGAATGGCACGGTAAAAAGTGAAAAGAAAGTATTAATAAGGATGAACGTGAGATAACGAAAATGATGTGATATCTAACGATACTAGAAAAATCGAAAATCAATTTCTACTGGTTATGGTACGAACGAAAAAGAAACTACGAAAGAAAGTATCTACAACAAATATGGAAATTAATAGAATTATTAACTCAATATACAAACTATAATGTGACTACTATAGCTGCATGCATTCGTCGAGACCGGAGAAAGTAGTCGACGATAATACGTTGATAGAAATTTTATTCGGATCCTGAAGAATTCATTTTTTCTCATTTAAACCCAATAACTTTTATACTTTCTCCACATTTAATATAATAATAATATAATTGTTTTCCAATAAACATTCATTTTGAGCAGTGCTGAATTTTGTTTATATTCATTTTAAGTTTTCTATTAAATTACACGTGACATGTATAATTAATCAATTAAAAACTATAACAAACATAATTATAATGAAATTTTTCAAAGCAAAAATCACGTTGCAATATACTGAATTATTATCATGATAACCATAAAAAAAGCAACACTTATAATAATAATTTTTCTCGTTACTAAGCTGGCGTTTATTTACATTATTTATATTCTCTGAAGATAATTAATATTCACATAAATAATTTTTCGTGTTATACCTCATCTCTACTAACTACAATTAAAACTGATACTCAACGAAACAAAATGGACAACATTAAAATATTTTCATCAATAATAATCAAATAATGTTTGTTCAAACCCAGCACTGCAGAATATCAAGTAACTTCACTAATGTTGAATAAAATTTTCAAGAAATATAATAATCGACCGATAAACCTCGATCGGCGAAACGCACAAGAGAAATGATCAGAGATCGAGTGCAAGTATAATCGTGAATAGTAAAAAGATCGAGAGCGCAGCGCTTTTCGTGAAGCAGTTTCTCACGAACACGATTACTCCGTTCGTGATATTCATCGAAAGCGATTGGTTACAATATATATATATATGTATATCAATTGGTGAATTATCGAAATAAGGAAGGTCAGCTTGCGAGATTGTAGCATGGTTTTGATTGAGGTGTACCTGTACCTCTTACGTGAACCATCTTGGGCAGTTCTGGCGGAGTGAATGTGGGGGGAGGATGGTGGTCGTCTGTAACAAACCACTACACATGTTAGCTACCCTAACTAATTAACTAACGCCTAATTGCTACTCTATTACTCTCACTGGCCAGTGCTATTACGTTTCAACTGTCTACAGCGAAGCTTCGTTCCAGCGTAAAAGAATCAACGAAAACTCATCTTCTACAAACTTCCTCATTTATCATGTAAAAATTCATTCTCACTGGTGTTTACAAGTATACTGTCTCCCCTAAACTTAATACTTTCATAAGAAGATTTATTATCTAAGGTGTCATTTAGTGATTGTCTGTTCAAGCATTTAGAATTTTAATACTATTATAGCCACTGAAAGAGGTGTTGTTACAAATACAGTGCTTCACGGAAGAATTAATCGTTCAAGGGAGACAATGATGGATTTACGCTGGAACGCCTCTTAATCTAACAGAATACACTAAATGTAAACACTAATGCGTACTAATACATGTTGAAAATTCTACCGAATCCAATGTTGCTCGTGGCAACGCGGACGAGTCCTAAATTGAAGCGGAAGACGATACATACGGTGGAAGAACTCTATGACCTCCTCCGCGTTGTACAAACGTAGCCTATCGATACGCTAGAGTACATGTTCTCATCGTACGAATGGTAAGCGGCGTGCACAGCCAGATAAATTCATGCCAACGTTCACGGAGGCGAAATACGACATCCAACATTGAAACCTTTCACATAAATCAGATTCATTCAACACAGAAAAAGAAACCTTCTAATACAAAAATTCTTACCTCATCTATCACACGAATTCTTGCACGTTTCAACATAGTAATTTTTAAATCGTCTAGCACGCCAATTCTTACATGTTCCAATACGAAAATTTTGAAATCGTCAAACGCGCGAATTCTTATATATTTCGATACAAAAATTTGGAAATTTTCCAGCACACTTGCAGTTACTTACGATATTTCGACACGGAAAATCCGAGATTCTCTAATGGAAATATTCTGAAACCTTCCGACACAGAAATACTGAATCGAGAGGTAAAAAATGTTCCAATATTGTTAGTCGCGTTTCTGTCTCCGCCGAGTGCTCTACTTAAGTAACAACTCCAGCATGCAATTGGTAGAACTCGTTACGGTGTGGATATTTACTCGACATTGCCAGTGCACTTTTCGACGGATATAAATATATAACTTGTGCGATATATTGGGAGAATCAAAAGAGTGCTCGGAAGATCGTAAGAGTTTCTACTTGTGTGTCGAAAGCAGAGTTACAGAGGATCCTTAGTAGCTAAAAGAGAGGTGGTCTGGTGGAGGGTTCCGGGTGGCGGGCACGTAGAGGGTTGGTGTAAAACTCGTCGTTTGCAAAAGACATTTGCGAACCGGATACAGCCGTTCTGTCCGGTCGCTGGCATATTTGCTCTGCTGTTCTTTTTTCTTTTTTGTTATGTCTCGTGGCATCGGTTAGGCTGATAGCGTTTAAGACTAGGAGGGAAATAGCACCTGCGAGAGGCCGCTTACGCGCGACTTTAAGCGCCGTTTCACTAGATTTGTAAGTTAGCTTTCTAATACCTGATTTACTCTCGCCTTGGATTCTACGATGCCTAATGTCCTATGACATGCAAAAGTATAATACATTTTTTTTCGTGTCGTCGGTGAGGGATAATACTCTAACGATCGATTCGAGACACGTCAAAGCTTCGGAACGTGCGAGGAGCGTAAGAAAATAAAACGATAGCGTTTCTTTGTAATCAAATATGTGATTTATCAAAAGTTTCCTTTTTTGTTATCTACTCCGATTGTTTAACAGAGACGGTGTAATTATAAAGAGACACTGGTTTACGGAGAATCTTGAATATAAAATTGAATATCGGACAGTTATTGGTTACTCATTATTTATTTCTTAATTATTATTCTTTTTAATCAGAACTATATATTTAGAATCTTTCGTTAACTATTGACGGTCTTGGAAAAATGTTATCTTTCACGTGTTACTTATTGTGGCGAAATAAAAATTAGAATGGTAAAAGTGGTGAATGAAGAATATTTGATTCTCCTTTAAGTTTGCGCATTTTCAGACATTTCTCGCATCGAAACCTCGAGTACATCCCCTTGCAAGGTAACTGACAATTCAGCGGAAGAAGTGGGAACGAGTGAAA